AGCTTGTATCTAATCCTTAAAATATTTTAGGGTTACCTCTTCAGAAGAGGGAATGTTGGAGGGGAGGGAGTGGTCATGGATTTGATCAAAACACCTTATATGCATGTATGAAATTCTCAATAAGTTATTTATTTAAAAAAAATAAAAAATATTAACCTGTATTGAAAAAGACACTATCCTCCTTCATCCTACAAATTCTTTTCCTTTCTGAATTTGAATTCTAGCTTTAAATTATCTACTTCTTTAATTTAGATGAGTAAAATCCTCCTGTCCAACACATATATCTTAGCAACTTACGGAACTTAGTTCATGAAGCACAGCTGAGGAACTGAGATCTGTAGAAGTAACTAGTCTGGACTTTGCCACTCTCTGGCTCTGCTGATCTTTGGAAAGGCACTAACAGTGGTAGCTAACTCACAGAGTTGATGAGAGGATGAAGTGAGTTGATTACTCCCTGTGAAATGCTGACATGCCTCTGGCACACAGGCAGATCACAACAAATACACCATTACTCCCCACCAGAAGTGAGCAGCAAAGGCAACTTTGTTCAACAGTACCTGCTGTGTGCCGTGCTGTAGGCAGAGAGCCCACCTCTTAATCACCATCATTTAATACATCCAAGTTAGCTTCAAAGAAATTTGCCTTCTTTGCAGAAGATTGGAAAACAAAAATATGATAACTCATTGTCCAGTAGCATTTTATTTTTAAAACTCCGAAATAAGCATCGTGGGGCAAACACTGTCTAACGAATGTATTTATTGACCTCAGGACTTTATGAGGCAGCAAAAGATAAGGGCAGAGTGTAAGCGCACATGCCTATGTCTCACAGCATGCCACTCCTAAGCTGGGGAAACCATGTTTAAGTTGATACTGATTCAACTTTTTAGGGCCAAAGTAAATTGAAAAGAACCAGGTCTTCCCACTAAAGCTGTACAGAATATGGAAGATGAAATAATTGGAAATGGGGAAGGGGCTAGAGATGGGGCTCAGTGGTAGGTCACAAAGTCCTAGAATCAGTCCTCAGTATTGTCAAAAAAAAAAAAAGTTTTTGGTCAGTCTGTAATCATCTGAGTTTCACTGAACTGTCTGACAGGGACACTACTGCAGTCTTCCCACTAGACTGACATTTCTGACTTTGGCATTTCACTGGGTTATTCACAAGCTGATTCAACATGAAATAGCAAACTAAGGTCACCAATAATTGCTCATTCACAGCTCTCTCGCTCTGATGAGTCAGTGCCATGCAGATCTCTGAACTATATGCCACCAGGAATAGCTGCACAATTAAAAACACAGAGACTGAGAGCCAAGGCCAAGGAAAGAGCTCGGGACTCAGAAGTGTATTCTCAGCTGGGCTGGATTTACCTGTGTGACCTTGTCTTGGTCATAGTTTTCCAGAGTCCTGGATCTCTTATGCACAAAACACGGTTTGGGGGGGCTTCTTGGCAAACTTAGGTCAGCTTCAGATTTAGCAGACACAAAGGGCATCAGGAGGCAAAGCATTTTAAGAAGACAGAGCCTGGCAATTTAAGTAATTACAGGAGCATCATGGACTCTTGGAAGCCAGCAGTGGCTGATGAGTCAGGCCTGCAGGTAGCTATTGGAGATCTGCTTTTGTTGTTGCTGTCCTGTTTTAGACAACATTAGACAACTGACTAGAGCACAAGACTAGATGCTAATGGTAGAGTGAGGGTGGCAGCTGAGACCTTCCACAGAGGATCATGGGCCTCCACTTCAGCATTGTCTGGGCAAGGTGCTGCTTTTTTAAAAGGTCGTGGTGCTATAGCATAGCCTTCCAGTAAATAATCCACCACAGACATACTACTTGAGAAGTCACTACCAGAGGCAGAGGAGAGATGGGAGTATTTCCCATCTCATTCCTCTGCCCTCTTGGTTTAGTTATCCAAGGTCATATAGCAGAATGATGCCCCTTGCAAACTCAGGTTCTGTACTGAGTCTCAGATGCAGCCCCCCCCCCCCAGTAAGATGGCTGCCATCAAGCACAGACTTCTCTAGGATGGGCAGATCTGAGCAGTCTATGCTTCCTCCTTGCCTGGGATCTTTCCAGACTGTTCCAGAAGCCAGCGAGGTGTGGAGGAAGCTGCCCTTCCTCTCAGTACTGGACCCAAGCTGGCCTACTCTGTGCTTCCCCACAGTCCAACTTGGCTTGCCATAGACTGCCTGATGTCCCCATGGTGCAATGGGAAAGAGTTGAGATGGGGATGAGTGTGGGCCTCATTCTGAATCTCGGCTGTGCTCTTGGAGTTGGTACTGACCTCTGGTTGAGGTGTGGCACTGCTAGTCATCACTCTGTAGATAGCCTCACTATGTCTATCTGAAAATGTTTCTTCCTTAGAGGAAAAAGGCTGAAGGTAAGACACTCCCCCTCTCCCAACTCCTCCACACTGCTCCCCAGTACGTAATAAACTCTAGGACCCACTTGACTTTATAGTGCTCAGTACGATGTCTCACCTCCTTACTCCTAGAGCAATGATTTTCAAATGTTATAGCAAAAATCTACTTGGAAACAAAAAGCCTTACTCCAAACTGTAATGTGTGAACTGAGAAAAAGTAGATTTTTGTTTATAAAAGTATGCTTAAGAGAAAGTTTATAATAACACCAATAAGAACAGTGAAGCAGTTTTGATGAATACAAAAATTTGAAGTGGAGTGTGTAGCAGATGGCTGGCATGGTCATGATCTTAGTGCATGCAGATGAGTGATTACAAAGGCAAGGTTTTTTTTAACTTAAAAAAAAATTTATTGAGAATTTCATACATGCATATAAGATGTTTTGATCAAATCCACACCCACTTCCTCCCCGCCAACTCCTCTGGTATCTCCCCATCACTTTTGCCTGAACAACTTCGTGTATTCTTTCTTTTTTTAATGGGGCTTTTTGCTGCGCTAACATTCCTCCCATCTGAAGAGGTAACCCTAAAATCTTTTAGAGATTAGATAAGAGCTCCTAAATACTTTTGACATTTTGGGCCTTTGGAACAGAGTATGTTGCTAAGAGGCCCAAGGACATTTTGATTTTTAGCCAAGAAACTGGCTACCTTTCTTTGTACCCTAACTGCCTAGCCAATTCCTACCTCCTATTCTTATCACACCATCCTCTAAAGAGGTTACCCAAATTGCTGATAGGGCATCGAGACACAGACCACTGTGGCTTCTTCCATGCTGAACAGGGACGGAGGGTGAGGCAATTGGAGTACCCCTTCAGTGGGTCTATCTATAAGACTCCCAAATTGCATAACTATTAACTGTAGGGATAAAAGAAAGTCCTTGACTGGTGCCTAGGAGATGTGAAGGAAGAGTAACGGCAAGAGTAGTTAGAGTTACAAGTTCTAGATAGGGAACCAGAAAAAGTCAAAACAGTGCAAATTTCAAAAGTTCGTATCAGAGTCCCTATTTTGTGTATATATTTGCATGCATGTGTGCACACATGCACGTACTACAACACACATGTGGATGTCAGAGAACAAATTGCAGGTATTGGTTCTCTCCTTCCACTATGTGGGTACCAGGGATCAAACTCAAGTCATCAGGCTTGGTGGCAGATGCCTTTACCTACTGAATCATCTTGCCATCCCAAAAATGGTAATTTAAGAAAACGTCAAATCAGATGATTCTTGTCAATTAATGAGAAATGATAAAAGGCTTATTATGGTAAAAGTACCTGTGTATGTTTACATGTATGGCTAGAAATGAACTTTTTTAAGGCAAAATGGGAATTTATTCAGAAAAAGATAGTTGGAGGCTGGAGAGATGGCTCAGTGGTTAAGAGCCTGGCTGCTCTTGCAGAGGATCCAGATTCAGTTACCAGCACCCACATGGTGGCTAACAACTATTTGTAACTCCAGTTCAAGGGGATCTGACACCCTCTTCTGATTTCTGCAGGTATTATGAGACACAGGTCCCATGGACTATACTGTGCCTTTAATTGCTGCCGTGTTCTTTGAGATTGATAGTGACTTTTTATCATATGGAGAAGTGGAGCAGAATTTCCCAAGCCAGCCAGCCTGTCTATTTTGTAGTTACCAAACAGTTCAGGCTCCGAATTAACCTGCAGAATTGATTGCATCATGAGTTTTGACTAAGGTGGGGATGACACATACTTCAGACACCTACAAAGGTGATCTCAGTTCAGAAAAACTTCCTTAGTGAGTGTTTCAATGGGTGCTAATGTAATTCTATTTTCAAAAGCTCTGCTTATGCAGGACATAAAATACTGAACTCATGGGTCATCTGCATCAAGTAGTGTGAGTTTTATGCCAGCTGTGGTGACTCCTTGGCTGACCCTTGAGATGGAGTCTGAGCACTCAGCTTTCTGGAAACAACCCTGTCTGATCAGCTTTTTCTGGCTTCTTCTCCAGGGTTATCAATGCCGGGAAGAGCACACATAATGAGGACCAGGCCAGCTGTGAAGTACTCACTGTGAAGAAGAAAGTGGGGGCCATTACCTCTACCCCGAACAGAAACTCCAAACGAAGGTCATCCCTTCCCAACGGGGAAGGGCTGCAGCTCAAGGAGAACTCCGTAAGCTCTGCCTGCCCTGTCCTCAGTAGTCAGGAGAAGGGGGCCCTGTGGTCCTCGAGCCCCGCTGTAAGATGCCAGGGCTTCATCCGGGTGAGGAATAGACCTGAGAAAAACAAGTCCTCAGAGCCAGTCGAGGAGTGGGTCTGTAATCAGAGTATCACACATTCAAGCTGAAGGTGACATGTTGGATGAGCTAGTGTTTATATTTTTAACAAAATAAATACAACACTAGCACTATAAATAGGCTTTGTTTTAGAAGCTGGTATATATAATCTGTGGTGGTTTCAAAGAAGCCACTTCTTTGTGAAGGAAATGACCTGAAAATATCTCATGAGGAATGGAAGAAACTCTAGCTTTTGGCTCAGAGCCCAGCTAGACTTTGACCCCATCTTCCCCCTTACCTCTCTCCATTATACTTGCCACTTGGAGCTTGCTCCTGACATTCTTCCAAATTAATATGTGTTTCAATTGGCCCAAAGCCCTTGCAACCTATGGGGTAGGCTAGCAAACTGAGTGCCCTCCTAATGACAAACCACAGGACACGTCCCCTCTCTCCAGTTTCTGGAGACTAAAGCATATGTATCCTCAGAAAACTCCAGAGACGCCCTCAGAGGAGGATAGGGGATCTTCTGTGCTGTCCATCAGTAGATTGTTCAGTCCTATGGGGAGGTGCTCACTGAGAAAAGCAGGGCACATTAAATGAGATAACCCAAGTGTGACTATTTTAGTTATCTTTAGGGTGTTCTTATACAAAAAGCATAGGATTCTAAAAGATTTAGGAGTCTCTCCTTCATCTAAAAAATAGTGTCTTGCTGCACTTAGGTGCCAAAAGTAGTAAAAACACTAATAAATTTTGTTAGTATGAAATCATTTTAGAGTTAGACAGCACAGTGACCTGTGGGATTCTTTGGTACTTGTTTTCAGCTGAAAGAAGTATTGAATGAGTCCTGTCCCAAAGAGTCAAAGCTGAGGACATGCTCATTCTGAGAACCACAGAATGACAGTGGTTTCCTCTTCTTGGACTAACACTGTGTTCATGAGACACTAACTCCTTCTTCCCTTGGGCCTCTGCAATCACTATTCTATGATTTTGACCACTGTAGGTATCTAATATAGGAGAAGTCCATAATATCCGCCCTTTTGTATCTGCCTTATTTGAAGATTTAGGATAATGTCCTCAAAGTTTATCCAGGTTGTAATGTGAGTCAGAACTTCAAGGCTGAATAATACTCCATCTTATGACTCTACCACATTCTGTTTATCCCCCATCTATGAATGGACCCAGTGTTGTTTTCACTTTTGACTTTTGTGTGTAGCACTGTTGTGAAAATAGTATACAGATATATGCAGGTATGCAGATACATACAGGTATACAGATATACACAGGTATCAGATAGCTCTTCAAGTTCCCACTTTTAGTCTGAATTTCTGGATTATAGGCTAATTCAGCCTAATTTTTTCAGTGGAAACAACACCCGTGTTCATTCTCTAGATATGGGTGCTGGGATCCCAACTCCAGTCCTCTGATAGAGCAGTATGCGGTCTTAACCACTGTCCATCTGTCCATCCCTGTGATACTGTATTTTTAAAAATATTTTATTATTGTTATTTTTATTTTATGTGTATGAGTATATTGCCTGCATGTATGTAAGTGCACCCATGTCCTGCAATGTCTACAGAGGTCAGAAGAGGGCATTGGAACCCCTGGAGCTTGAGTTATAGATGATTGTAGCTGCCATGTGGGTGCTGGGAACTGAACCTGAGTCTTCTGCAAGAGTAGCCAGTACTTTTAACTGCTGAGCCATCTCTCTAGCCCCTGATACTGTATTTTTATGTGCTTATTGGCCCCTTTATATATCTTCCTTAGAGAATATCTATCTGGTCTTTAACCCATTTTTAACTTGTGTCCTCTGTTTCATTGTTATTTGGGCTGCTTTGCAAAAGCCTATAAACCAGGATGTTGGGTACACACAAAATGTACAGTGTGCCAGAAGACAAATGCTGTTGAGAAAAAAGTGGGATAGGAAAGGAAGGGCAAGGTGCCAGGATGACCATCAGAGACATGCCTAAGAAGGTGCAGTCCAGACAATGGCCAGTGCTGCAGCTGTTTGGAGAGATAACATTCTAACATTCTGGGCATTTGCAGAGACTGGGATCAGAACGCCCTGAGTCCTCATGAATGAGTGAGGAGGCACTATGATTGTAGCAAAGACATAGAAAAGCTTCGATTGCAAGAGTTGTGTGAAAGGTCATGGGAGTTTGATGAAACCGTTGTGAAGGAAGGGTCTTTGGCTTGTGCTTTGACTGAAAAGTTTGTAAGTAAAGGATGATGGGTACATGATTAAAAGAGTCCAGTGATTTTCCCATCTAGAAAACATCCCCTTAAGAGTAAAACTCATGAAGCCAGGCGTGGTGACACATGCCTTTGATCCCAGCACTTGGGAGTTAGGGGCAGGTGGATCTCTATGAGTTCAAGACCAGCCTGGCCTACATAGTGAGTCCCAGGACCTAGGCCTAGTACATTGGAAACAATGATAATGCATTACATGCTTCAAAAAAGCCAGAAGGCAGAGCTGGAATGATGGCTCAGTGATTAAGAGCACTGACTGTTCTTGCAGAGGACCTGGGTTCAGTTCCCAGCACACACACTGCAGCTAACAACCATCCATAACACCAGTTCCAGGGAATCCAACATCCTCTTCTGGCCTCCACAGGCATTGCATGCACATGGTGCACTTATATACATACACATTCATGCACATAAAATTTTTAAATTAAAAAAAGAAAGCTTTCAAGTGTGATAGCACACACCTTTAACCCCAGCACTCAGGAAGCAAAGGAAGGCAGATGTTTGTAAGATCAAGGCCAGCCTGGACCTACATAGTGAGTTCCAGGGCAGCTGGGGCCACAGGGAGAGCCTGTCTGAAAAAAAGGTAGAAGGTGCCAGGCATGGTAGCACACGCCTTTAATCCCAGCACTTGGGAGTTAAAAATAGATGGATTTCTGTGAGTTTGAGGCCAGCCCGGTCTACAGAGAGAGTTCCAGAACAGCCAGAGCTGCATGATACCCTTGAGAAACAAAACAAAAAGCTAGAAGGAAGGATAATACCAGGATAGGGCTTATAGCCCAGAAGCATCTATGGGAGAGAAGTAAGGCAGACTCAGCCTGTTCCCCCGTGACTCTTTTTCTTCACTCTGCAGACATATCGATGACTGAGTCAATCACTGAGTTGGTGTGCTGAGCCCTGGGGTGCGATGAGCTTGCTCTAGTCCTGCGAGAGCTGAAGGAGAGAATCATTAGCTAGTGACACTGTGATGGGGCCAGTGTGACAAAGATAAAAAGCCCAGTTTGTATGGAAGCCTGACTCAGACTGGCCACTTGTGGTTTGGGGGACAGCTCAGATTAGGGAAGGCTTCCTAAAGAAAGCACATTTGAGCTGTGATCTTAAAAAGTGAATGGGAGGGCTGGGAATGGAGCTTGATGATAGCCTCCTGTCTACCATGTACCAGGCCCTGGGTTCAAGTCCCAGTACAAAAGAAAGAAAAGTGAATATTTTAGCAAGCAAATGGGAAAAGGGTGTTTCTAATGAATGGAAAGAGCATATATAGAGATGGGATGCCAGATGGTTTGTGAGACAAGGTATGCATAGTTTCAGATGGAGTGGTATTCAAAGGGTGGTAATGGTACCAGAGCTGTTCAGGTCAGAGCCTGGCCCTGGCAGCCCTAACAAGTTAGGCTCAGCCCTTGCCCTCAATAGACCAATTAAAGAGGAAAAGTAGTAGTAAAGGCAGAAAAAGGAGATTTTCTCAGTGTGGCCACTTTCATCCCCAAGTCCATCTTCGGAGTTCTGACTTGAGGTTTAGATTCAAATATAGGGCAAGAGGTAAGCATACCTAAGCAGTCATGGTCAAGGTGTGGCCCTGCCCATCACTGGCCCATCATTATCTCAACTCCAGTTTCTCCTGCAAGGTGGTCTGACAAGTTGTCAGAATTGTATAAAATCTTTTTTTCTCAGAGACAAGCTTTCCCTCTGGCTGGCACCTGGGTTTCAGCTTTTCCTTTCTCCCGGTATGAGCTTCCTGGGGAAATTCTAGTTCCTTCCAATGCATTGTCTCAAAGATCTGATCATGAGCAGGAGAGGCAGTGTCTCTGAAGAGTATCTTCATTCCGGTCAGGATAATTACAGTGGGACATGAACGTTAAACATCACCCATAACATTTATGAGATGTCATCATAAGCTGGGATTTTAACCAAATGATTTTAGACCTAACGTGATAGATTCAGACAATAGCCATGAGGGGAGGCTTGGGATGACAGCTAGGAGGCCAGGTAAGAAATGATGAGGGCTTAAACTGAGGCAGAGATTAGTATGAGGGGCTGGCTCAGAGAGCTGATAGGAGAAAGAACAGCTAAGGTGAGCAGACTTCTGAGAAAAGTTGAGGATGGCAGAGACTTTGGACACTGTGCACTGGACTGGTAGAGCAGTCCAGTGGTAGGGGGTGGAGGGATGGGGGGTAAGGGAATGGACAGAGATGGGCACATCATTGTAAATATACGGATTCTACCTTTCCAAGTAGAAAGGAAGTCAAAAATAAAGGTTTGCAGCTCAGGACCAAGTCTAAGGACATTTGGATTTCAGGAGTTACAAGTGCCAAGATTCAAGCTGAAATTGTAAATGTGACTTAGATCCCCCAGAAAGAGTATAAAAATGAGAGAAGATAGAGTTACAGGAAAGAAAGGGGTTCTAGATGCTACAAGGAGAGAAGACTGTTCTTAGGAAGAGAGGTTATTATGCTATAGGCCACGTAAAGGTCAAGAAGATACGAATGGGGAAAAGTGGATATATTATATGATAAGTCAAAGATGGAACAACAAGATTAATAAGCAGCTTTATTATCTCACCTGCAAACACAGTGCTGGCAAGCATGAGGCAGCAGAAGAGGTTGTGTGGAATCCATACTCAACACACAGGTTTAATGTCTCTCTCCTTTCTTGGCCT